CTGCAGCTAGGTGGTATATCGCTTACCATTCAGTATTGATGGTCAATTGGCTTGATTGACAAGTTACGTTGTGTCGTTCAGAAACGGTGGCAGAGCCAGGGGTTATCATGGCCACAGTACAATAATCCTTCAGCCACCCTAACTGCTGTTTGCCAACAACATTTTGATGAGGCCATTTTAGGAGAATATTCTACTGCACTGCTCAAACAGRTGGTGCCAATAATGGAGGTAACTTTATTGTCCACCACCACTACAAGTATAGAAGCAGAATAACATGTTCCTGAAGATTGGAGTTAAGTTTGCATGACTCACCATTTTCCAGTAAATAAATATATACACCTTTTTTGTCTGTGGGAGTGTCCCAGCCTGTAACATAATAGACCCAAGAAMAATACACCCCACAGGGTATTGTTACATTGTACAAACAACTCGCTAGCTAAAAGTCAGCATCAGCAAAACAATCATTTAGTCAGTTTCACCACATGCCTATTTTGTCTTGGTTACACTGAGTCGATCACTCCCACTCATGCAGCATGCTTCTCTCTTTTATTCACCAGATATACTGTAGCATCTGTCTTATGGTGTCAGGTTTATAGTTAACAATATAAAAAGCAACATAAGTGTGTGACCAAAACTGAACAGAACAATTGATGAGAACAAGTTATCCGGGCACACAACTAGAAAAAGTTCATATATTTTTTTCCTTGGACTACCCAGATGTCTTTGCGGCTCATCTAGCCCCTCTGAAATGTTACAGTAGTATTAGTTACCTTTTTGTAGAAGGCAAGAGTGATGTACTATATTGCCAAAAGCATTTGCTCACCCATCCAAATGACGATGAAACAAGGTAGATAAAGACATGGATGGCAGAGTCTGGTGTGGATGAACTTGACTGGACTGCACAGAGTCCTGACCTCAACCTGATAGAACACCTTTGGGATGAATTAGAGCGGAGACTGAGAGCCAGGCCTTCTGTAAAACATCAGTATGTGACCTCACAAATGCTTCTGGAAGAATGGTCAAAAATCCCCATAAACACTCCTAAAGCTTCTGGACAGCCTTCCAAAAGAGTTGAAGCTGTTCTAGCTGCAAAGGATGGACCAACATCATATTGAACTCTATGGATTAGGAATGGGATGTCACTTAAGCTCATATGTGAGTCAAGGCAGGTGAGACAATACTTTTGGCAATATAGTATATTTCTATAATTATGACCCCCGCACGCGAAGCGTAAGCGGGAGTCATATTGTTTTCGCACTGTTTATTTATTTATTTTCAGTGATTTTTGGTCAACCGTACCACAAAAACGGCTGCACCGATCAACATGAATTTTGGCAGAATTGTAGTTGAGTCTGACCTACACTGCGCCAGTCAACGGTTTTACGATAGACCCCATATTTGAGGAGGGGGCTCCTTTCAAAGTGGGGGTGTCAGGACATGCAAAATCGCTTATAACTCAGAAACTGTTCAACATAGAAGCTTCAGATTTCTTTGGTTGTTTAGCTCTGATGAGGGGCTATCCAACACCCCCACCATCCCCCAAAATAAAAAGACACCCACCCAAACTACTACAATTTTGGGATGCACCTAGGTAGCATGACATTTATTAGGAATAAACACTTCTGAGTTCTGGTGCATTTGTGCGTGCGGGGGTCATTATGTTACCGCTATGCGGTATCTAGTTTTATATTTAAACATTAAAAGGAACATTTCATAACAACTAAAGGTGAAAAAATACTTTATTATGGTATAGAATTTAAATATATGCCTGAGAAACACATAATATTGCCCATTTATTCATTATGTTAATTTAAGTCCTCCATATAACTCCTGTAGGAATTCATGTAGGAGCTATTTTAATATTTACAGTGAAACTAATTAATCTGTTGTGTGGACTCTCATGTGTTTGTTTAAAGTTGACTTTTGGCTAAATCTTTGTCCACAAACATCACAAGGAAATGGTTTGTCTCCTGTGTGGACTCTCGTGTGAGTTTAAAGATGACTTTT